AAATACGTAGTATGCCTGGGGAGTTAAGTGCTGCAGGAGAAAAAATGTCAGAGGAGCCCGGGGAGCTCTGTGGTGGTGTTGGTGGGGTCTGTTGTTTCAATAGGATGATCAGGGAGGTCATTGACAAGCCATCTTGGAACAGAGAGTTGAGAGGAGCCATGCAGGCATCGGGGAGACCTTCCAGGCAGAGGGAATTCTAACTGTGGAGTCCTTGAGGTGGAGTCACACTTGGGGGACTCCTGGTCGAGTAAGACCACTGTTCCTGGGGCAGGAGGAGTCAGGGCGAGAGGGACTGGATGAAGGCAGGGAACCATGTCCGGGGGTGAGGAGTTTGGTTTTTGCTGTGAGTGAAATGGGAAGCCACAGGAAGGTTTGTTGCAAAGGTGGGGCATGAACCGACGCATGCTTTGAAAGGACCACTCCAGCCTCTACGTTAGAAATCGACTGTAGGAGATTTAGAGGCACAGGCAGGGGGACGGTCAGGTGGCTGTTGCAGTGACCCAGGTGAAAGACCATGGCAGAGGTGCTGATTTCGGGGATCTAAGAGCTGTCCTCATCACAGGATTGCTGTCAGCTCTCCAGCAAACCACGACAAAATTGTTTTAAATGGATACTGAAGTTTTCTCAATGTTACGTAGGGGTGAACAAAACCATTATCCAGTAGACAGAATAATGGCCCCCAGAGACATTCGTGTTCTAATAACCCCTGGAGCCTGTGGAGAGGTCACCTTACGTGGAAGAGGAGGAGGCTCTGCAGGTGTGGTTATGCTCAGGCTCTCGAGAGGGAAAGGCCATCCTGGGTTATCCAGGCAGGCCCAGTGCTATCACAGGGGTCTCTGTGAGGGGCAGACAGAGGCATCGGAGCCAGAGGAGGAAGTGTGATGGAAACAGAGGCTCAAACAAGGAATGTGGGCAGCTTCTAGAAGCTGGAAAAGGCAAGCAATGTCTCCCCTTCAACCTCCAGAAAAACACAGCCTTGCCCACACTTTCATTTTAGACTCGTAAGACCTATTTTTTGACCTCCACAACTAAAAGATAAAATTGTGTTAAGCCACTAGGTTTCTGATAATTTGCTACAGCAATAATAGGAAACTATATACATAGGACTAGGAATATGTAGAAATAGAAATATACTCACATGTGTTCTTAGAAAACTTTGCGGATTGTGTCCATCTGTAGCAATATTGTAAGTACTGTGCTTGCTTTTGGTTCACACTCCCTGGCCACCCTTCCCCATCCAATTGCACTCTCCTAATCTGTCCTTTATAGAAATTCTGGAGCCATTATTTCAGATGATAAGCACTTTGAAATAAATATAATAGAGGGAAGTGGTTGAGAGTGACTGCGTGTCCAGAGAAGGAGGCTTCTTTGAGGAGATGACACGTGCGCTGCTACTGAAAGATGAGCAGGACCAGCAGGGGAAGACCGAGTCCAGGACAAAGGTCCTAGGGTGAGAATTAACCTGGTCTGTTGAAGAGTACCGACTCTTCGCTTCAGTCTTGTGAGCAAAGGACACAATGGTGGTAGATAAAGCCAAAGACATCAGCAAAGTCGGGCTTATATAGGGTCTTTTAGGTGATAGAGGCATTTGGACATTGTCACTGTGGTGAAAAGCCATCAGAAGGTTTGGAAAAATAGAGTGACTGGAGCTTACTTACATTTTACACATTGGCTGCTGGGTGGGGAATGGTTTTCAAGAAGGGAAAGAATGAAAGTGGAGTTTCCAGCAGTGTAGTTGAGAGCAGTCAGAGTAACCTGAACTAGTGCGGTAGCAATGGAAATGTAGAAAGGTAGACAGATTTCGGATATATATGAAAGTTAGAATTGATAGGACTTGCTGATGTGGGGCTTGAGGGAAGAGAGAACCATCAGGGATACATCTGGTACTTTGGCTTGAGCCACTGGCTCTGATCTAAGGAAGACTGGAGGAGTTCAAAGAAATGAGTCAATGAATAATGCGCTTATGAAATCATTAAACATTTAGGGGTTGAATAATGCTGGCTGTCAGTCCTGGATATTTGAAAATACTATGTGATGAATAGCCTAATTTTAGAT